TCGGCCCTGATTAACACACAATTTTGCGGAGTATTACATTAAAAATCTACACTAGCTAGCAGACAGTCATTGCACGTGGAAACGAGATCTGTGGGATAGACAGAAAACATCAAAAAATCATTGTGAACATGAATCTCACCTTGCTGATCTCAGTACGAACTGGAGGCACATTCCTAGTCGGCGATCAGTGTACACAAACCAGTCGGCTTGAACCTTCCAGTTGCCTAAATCGAACAGTGTGAGTGAGACTAAAGATTAAAAGGGACTGAACAATTTCATTCAACAAATCTACAGAGCGGTTTCAATTGACAACACACGGTCAGCATTTTCCTTGATCCGTACGCACTTTTAGAATAACTCCTACTCTCATCTGGCACGTCGAACGAGCATATGTTAAATCAACCATCAGCTTAGTCACCCTTACTGCTTTCACGTGTATCATTTTTGAGAGCATGATGAAAAATCTTTGAAAGCAATCGGTTTTTTTTTGAACAGCGCAAATAACTACACTGTTTAAATAAAAGGATAAATTGTAATCCCGTTATTTCTCTGCTAAAATGAAAATAAACGTTGGGTACCTTTTTATGAAATAAAGTCGAAGGTTCCAAACCAGAAGTCCTCTTTTGAAGATAATGTGCATTTGGGCTTCACGCCTTTCATCGTATTCTACAAGCTCTTGGCTTCCTTAAACCGACCTATGGGCTCGCTGTTTGACTAATTTTGTGTTCCAGTCGTGATCAAGGACGAATGTTCTTCTTTCTGGGGATCGTAATGATACTAATTCAAGGTAGGTCTCCAGAGGTTTTCCATATTTGTTGAGTCGTCTTGTATACTACTTCCTTTTTAATCGCGCTTGCGAAATGAAAGCCATTGGAGCCTCATTTCGTTAAGAAGTGCTGGTTACCGATGGGACACTTAGGTGGAGAAAATATTCAAATCGAGCGTTTTTCTTTTACTTATAGACAGCACGATGGTTACTCGCTCGGCCGTTATCAGTTAAACGCTTTTCTGCTTCATCTAATACAAATAATTTGAAAAAGACTAGTAAACCCTACAGCCTTGTGGTTACGTTAAAGCTGAAGGTATATCTTCAAACAAAAAACAAGCAATTTTGGGAACCACACCTGTACCGAATTCCCATAAATTCCATGAGCTCTCAAGCACATTCATCCTGTCATAGAAGATAACCAAAGTAAAACGGAGATAACCATGTGCGGCTAGGCGAGTAACCGTTTGATCGCTTACTCTGACCCTTCCTTCTTAGCATCACTAACGCTTCGGTAATTGCCATTTGCTCATTTTTATAAAATGTACTCAGTATTGTTTATTGAACCGTGTTGTTAGCTTGTACTTTGCCTTGCTCGTTAAGGGTCAAACCTTTTTATGACTTATGCCTGCTTGCAGGTGGTTTGATCAGGCGCTTCCGGTTCAACCAAGCCCATCTAGGCGCTTTGGTAAGTCCTCAATGTGCGAACCATTCTCGTTGAACGTCTGTGTTTTGAAGGACGATATTCAAGTTCGTGGTTGCCTGCTTCACTTCAGTTCTTACAACCATTAACCATGCACTTTCGTGCGTCGGTTTTGGTTGCCCATTTGGATAAAACAGCAGAATGATGATTAAAATGTTAAGAGCAGATTCAAGCGGAAGATTGCACCTTTTTATAAACTGAAGTGACAAGAGTAGTGAGTAGATACATGAGCACCACTGTTTGCGACTCCCAACCATATCGCTCTAACCATCGGTGACCATGATCTCCGGGTCCCCAGTCAGGGAGCTTAACGGGACCTATGTGAGCCAGTCTTATGGTCAGGGTTTTCATACCCTCATGCCAGGTCTTAGCTTGACCGCCCTTCGTTTTTTTTCAACCGCTACCTTCCTCGCCAAGCACCGCTCGCCGTGGCAACCTGTCTGGTGACATGCGTAGCACATGTCTCAACCACCGTAATCTACGGTTGCATGGTGGGAATTGAGTATGCAAATCGTACTCCCACGGTATTGGTCAAGTCAAAAATGCCCTTTTCACTTGGTCACATCAAATTTCCGTCGCTTCTATCAGATCGGTCAACAAGCTCCCATAACCAGAACCCTTGAATCCTTTAATGCAGTACAATGCTGTCACCGAAGCATGCACATCGAATTTTGGTTATCGTTAAATTGCAAAACTGCTTCTGTATCATCGTGCCGTTGCTTCTTTAGAGTTCCATAAATTCCATTAAAACCTCTGAAGGAGTAACTGCTTATTTTTAGTATTAACTCATCCTTTTGTCACATTTCCTCTTGATATATTGAGGAGAAAATTTGACCTTAGTATCCGACACTATAACTTTCATGTGATGCTTGGACGAAGTTACACTTTCCACAATACAGTTCTAGTGCTTCCGTACTCGCACTTGCTTTCATCAGCCTTAAGAAAGAATCGTAATGGCAACTTCTTGCGATCAGTATTCAAGTGAATGTGCGGTTGCCCGAATAAAGCAACCAAATGATCGATGATCTTCATTGGGGTAAACAAAATTTACTAATCCCTATTGATAATACCCCACAAGTAGGATAAACACAATATCCTGAATGACATCTATTTGCGATTTTCCCCGGTCGTTTGTGTATTTTCTTGCTCTGTTCCTTTGCCTTTTTCGCTTATTTTCCAGTCTATTATCAGTCTTAGCGTGGCATGCGTGGTTTTGGGCGCCGCGTCGGAGCCATTGCTGTTCTACACAGGGCTCTTACTTTTCGCATTCGCCTCGGCTGCATTTGTGCCCTGTTTTCAAGCCATGGTTTCGTTGTTGGCAAAACCCGATCGTCAGGTACGTTTACTCATGTTTGAAATGAATCGTGTTCCCGGCTGGCCATAAACCAACACTTGTCGACCAAGTGAATGGGAACCCCTAAGGGGATGATTGTCGTACATATAGAAAAACCAGAAAGAAATCATGTCAGAGGTTGTTTTGCATCTTATCCGGCTCCAAATGGTACTCCATCGCCTGTAACAGAACAGTAGGTCTTCATGACTCGTCTCGTTGATGCATGACGTGTAATGGGGAAACGTCTTAATCCACGCTAAGAAGAAAACGATTCACGGGTCCGCAATGCGTTCATAAAGTAGTTTGTTTGAGACAGGGGTACGTTCCCATTTCTGTCAAGAAAGTTCACTGAGGTTCACATTGTTACAGAGGACAACAAGCGAATACGATCGTGGAGAGAGAGAACACGAGAGCAGGAACGACACGCTTTACTCGTCTATTAATAGCAGTACATGGGCTGAAAAACAAAAGGAACGACGTGGTTAACAGCGTACAGAAACAGAACGAATAACAAACACGACACACATTGCATAACCAAACATGTAGAGTTCTTTCTTAAATCTTTCAGTCTTTCTTTCAAATCAGGGTCATGTTCTCGGACTTTATCGATCACTGAACGCGCTTGCACGGGCTGTCGGTCCAGCATTCGTCTCCACCCTTTTCTGGTTGGTTGGCCCGTTCCAATGTTACGCTCTCTGCGGCTGTTTGCTGGTCATTTTGTGCATGTTTTACGTGCGCATTGAAGTTCCTTTGCCGAGAAACTTAAAATACCAATAACGTGATATTTATTTTGTATCACTACCAACTGTTTTTCAATAAATATTCTGATTATTTCCTCGTTGTTTTGGGGACCTTTCGGAAAATTCGAGTGTTTCTGATTAATCCGAGTACAACTCTGTCTATACTGAGTCGTCTTCACCGCATTGTGAGCTAAATAAATAGACAGCGTGGATCCGCTTGAGGGAGGATAACAAGTGAATTAATTAATCCAACCGAAACCTCCAATATTTTTGCTGGCATGTTAACGCTTAACCAACTGACTAAGATGTTGGACTTTTTTAACAGTTATTACGTTTCCCAGTTAAGAGAAACCAACGAGCTGTCAAAGTACAGCTTCCTCGAAAAACTAGATCCGCAGTTCAAGCAAAACGATTTGCATCACCCATCACTACAATGGTGTTCATTGTTTTGACTATCAAACTCGGTACAGTCAATCTCCTGCTATGTTGCTCCTCTCGGGGATTGGAAAGTGGGTAAATTCCAGGAACTGCAACATCGCAGGTTAGTCTGTAGTAGATTCTATTAGAAGTGCATCGCCCAAGCAGGCAGGGGCGCGCCAAACCCGGGTTACGATGACTTTTCGCCAAAGACCTGTTCAATTTCATCTGTGCTCTAGCAAGGAAATGTGCGATTATCGTCCATTCATGCACACAGGCGAGTCCGCGCGACGATGTCTATCGATCTCTTGGATCTGACATCTTGCTCCATACACCCGCGTACAAGTCGGTCGCGGTTATCGTTCACCCGTTTACACCTTAGTGCGACAGAGCCCATCGATAGACCGTGGCTTTAGTGACCACATTCGAGTGCCACACGGAATTGCGGAAAACACCTTTACAGATTACAGAGATGTATTTTTAGCAGTCATAGATTGTCGCTTGTCTCAGACTGGCTCATCTTTGGCAATCAACAGGTGCGCTGTTTGAACCAGTAATTAACTTCAAACCCGACCATTAGCCCAGGTAAACAGCTTCGGTTGATCCAGTAACCTCTGGGTTTTTCTAATTGGGATAACTTCCGGCACATTCACTGCTAAGTTGCTCATCTTTGATCAAACACAACATGCAAGTAAATTTTTCCGAATGGAATATTTGAAACACCAAATCACACCCACTGGCTGTAACACTGAAGAACAGTTCGGAGGCAGATGAGTCGCTCGTGTCTTACTTTGTAGGATTGAATAACATGTGCCTGACCAATGGCGAAACCAAATTTTGGAAGTCACGATGATGCATTATTCGTGCTAGTTGAATAGCCTTATGACAAATGATGCTCTTCACCATGGGGAACTTCGCTTTCCCCTCGGCAGTAACCAAGCTAAAGTTGCCTCATTCACTGTCTTGAACTTTGCGTTGGTTTTCAGGTGAGATCTCTCCCAAAATGCTCCAGCTTTCACAAGTAGTTCGAGCCTCGAGTGGTACCTGGCTGATTCAGCATTTCCAACCCCTTCTGATCGATAGGCGCTTGTACATTTTGAAGTTAAGTGACACTGTCTTCGATTGTTGGCATCGGTGTGTCTTCCTCACAAAGATTATCCAACCAGTGAACAGCGTCCTGTTCGTGTCACACCAGGTGAAACGCCATTGGCTGAGTGCGACGTTGCAGGTTGGCTGGTCAACGGCCAAGTGATTAGGTATCAGGGACTGCGACATATTGAGGGGGCGACATTGCATAGACAGAAACTACGTTAGACATATGCGGTTGGTTTCGGTTTTCCAAAAAAGTGGGAAGATATTGGAAAACACGACTTCTCAAGGGTGCGGTATAGCAACAGATTGGCTGTACTTGCTTTATCGCACCCAAAGGTGAAAATCCGGCGACCGCCGCGTAACACAGGAGGGTTATAAATTTGCATGGTTATGCAATAAACCATAAAAGCAGAATGTCCTAAGGTAACCAATTTATTGCAATAAGCTAGGTGTTACAAAGAATTCTGGCGAGATATGGCACCACCAAGGATTTGTATGCTGTACTTCTTACGAACAGGCGGCAATAGCAGGTTTGTGTGCTGGACGATAATACAAATACTCGATCAAGTAATTGTGAAGAGAATGTATGACTTAAAGGATTTTTCGGGGTTCGATACATTGGGAGGCAACTGCGTTTGTCAGTCTCTAGTAATAAAGACGGAGAACTTGCCCTTTTGAGCATTATCTGGGATGCTCTGCAAGCAAGAAAGAGTTGCGCTACCGCTGCGAAGGTGTCTTTCCAGCTTGCATTAGAAGTTTTTAAGAATGAATGCGGGATAAACCTCAAGATATGGATGAAACCAAGGGATTTGGTGAGCAATCCTAAACTTTCCGTGAATGATATTGAGAGCATAAAGTAATAGAGGCATGAGTAATCTGGGGAATACAACAAGGTCTATTTGCCATATTAGAGTCAACTCAGCGGATCCTTAGCCAAAACTCGGATTCGAGGCCCGTTTCAGTTGTCGCCCTTTTCTATGAAATATAGCTACAATTATGTATATATTTTCAGGATGTGTTTATTTCTGGTCCATTTAAAAACCTTGAAATGGTTTTTGTCGCGTACTATTGTCAAATGCACTAATGATTATACAGGTGCATTAGTGTTTCTGAGGTCCACAATATAGTTATTTCTGAAAGTCGAAATCTGGTGAGGGTTTCATGTGTACCCACAATGCATATTGGCGATTTGCAATTGTCGGTCACTAATTTTAGCTGCAGGAATACGACCGAGATTTCAAATTCGGCCTTTTAGAATATCACCGTTTCGGATTCTCGAGAATACTGACGTACTGGTGCATGGCTTTGGAAACGCTTTTCGTTGCGCATTGGGCGTTATGTTTCAGGGACTCCATTGTATTATGCATGAAAGAAGCGGATAGGATTGACTGGTTTGTCAAATGTCTCGTCCGGTAGACGAATGGATGCTAATGATGAGCACTCCTTGAACCAGCTTACAGTGTCGTCCATTAGTTGATAAAATTTCCATTCGTCTTCCATAATAAGTCCTTTCAGCCCGTGTCGTCCACTTGCATGTTGAATAAAGCCTAGATATCAGGCTTGTGTTTTCTCTCTGTTCAACGGCTGCTACGATCCTCTCTCACATCACATTCTACCTGTGAGATCCCGGGTTCGATCCCCAGTTGGGTCGATTTTATTATCACTACTGATGAAACCCAGCCACGTCGAAACAGCTGCCCAGTGCTTCCCAGCTTTTCAGCTCACTCTTCATTTACACGACGAATTCTTCATATAAAAATATTTGATTTTATCGGTTGTAATGATTGTCTATACAGAGAAATATAGTAAAGAGAGCTGGGCAACTAGCAGAAATTTGGAAAACAGTGCTGCGTTCGGGAGTTTAAATAGGGTAACCATGGTCCTGGCATCTCTGACACAGGGAATGAACAGCTACTTTTTTGTATACTGCAAGAAAAAGTTAGCCGAAGCATATATTACCTTGGCAGTCAGCCAGTTCATATCATCCACTGCCTTGCGTATAATTTGCTGAATCCTCAAGGGATCGTTCTCATCTGCATGGCTATTGAATTGCTAATCCGTGTACCTTATACAAACTGTCAGCGTACCTGCCGTACATGGTATCGATAGTGCTCCTGGATGCCTGCAGGTAATTGACGTATTCTTCGTAAAAGATAGGCATACAATCTCAAGGGAGTACTCGGTATCGACATAATCTGGAAAAAAACATTACGAGTTAGTAGAGACCGGTGTCAGGAAACTTTGAGTTAGACGGAAACAAACGCGAGAGTCCAAACAAAAAATGCACAATGAAATGTAACTCAGGTTTTTCACGAGTCGCTATTAGAACGGAGTTAAAAATCATTGAATATCATACTAATTACAAGATCTGGATAAAGAAAATCACGGTGATATTTATAACGATTATTTTGTAAACTTCGTTTATATATTCGTTTCATTTTCGACGGCGAATTGTTATACGATTACGACGAGACTGCACCTTGACGTGATGTGATGGCTTGCGTGCCTCCATGACCCTGTGAGCTACGCAGGATGGCTTTTCACAGCCGTAGATCCAATCATGCCTGGAAGGTCAACGAGTAGAGGCCAGATGAAGCTCGGTCTCACAAAGCCGACTGCTTGGGCACCTGGTTTTTATCTTCTATCCACACCCGCCCATGGAGAGGCCACTTCAGCAAACAAACACGGTGAGGGGCAGTTTACCGGTAAAAAAACCCCGCTAGATGAACTTAGGAACGGGGTACCCGGGGCTTCCTCTCGACGGTGGGAGAAATCTTCGCACTTTATTGGACAGCTACCGCC